AGTCAATTTTGATTCATCAGATGGATGTCTTCCTTACTAACTGACCCTTGGCCTGTTAACTTGTTAGGTGTTTTAGTTATGATTGATCTATGGTGTTTCTATTTATTCAGTCTTTGCTTCTTTTGAGTAATGTTACTTCTTGATAGTGAACATGGTAAAGAATTGATGTTTTTTTGTTTTGTATCTATCTTGTTCCTAATGCAGTTTGATATTTTACCCACTGATGAGGGCCAACTCTGGCCAATCTGAATTGACTGAGTTCTGTCAAGATTTTAATATACTGAAAAAATGAACTTGAAAAATTAGATAAGGCTATGCTTCATCAATCGATCAATCCCCTGTGTAGACCTACATACGTGTACAACCCCATTTTGCTTCTATTTTAGTTAGTTTTCACGACTTTGTCTTGACTGACATGCCTAAACAGCCTGATTACTTACCAAAGTTGACTGAGCAGGTTCTCACCTCTTCAGACTGATCTATTTGACAAATAAATGCACTTCCATCAGCTATTGGGACTGCTCTCTCATCCACAACCTTCGGCACAGCATTGTCCATCAACTCTTGTCCAGTGACAACTCAGTTTCACAACAAAACGTGTAATAGCTATCTTGTGGACCAACGTGGTATTGTTTCGCTTTTTGGGGAGAAAGCGCGACAATACAACGTTTTATTTGCAACTAGGTCACGTGACTATCAACTTTCCCTCGGCTAAAAAAAAAGAAAATGGCGGACTGTCGGTCTATTATCTGTGAAAAACACTATATTTTAAGAAAGCATCGGCATTTGTATGCCTTTTGATGGCATTTCTAGCAAGAAGTATGCGTTATATTTTCATAATCTTCTATCAGAGAATGTAGAAGACCTTTCGTTTATTAGTTTCTAGTGACATAGTTGCAAGGCAATGTAAATGAATAGGCCAAAATAAAACGTAGTATTATCACGATTTGGGGGAGAAAGGAGAAAGCGTGACAATACCACGTTGCTCCTGTCAATGCGTTTAGGAGCAAAGGACATAGGAGAGCCCTGCGAGGCAATTGTTTTGATTTTTGACTGTATAAAATTAGTTAAACATAATTGTTAAGATGTGTTATTACATGTTGATCAGGTTCAGCAGGTGCGTGGACTTGCACCCTCATCCACAACACAGCTACTTGAAAGTAGCACAGCGTCTTAAAAAAATGTGTCTTTTTTGTTTTGTTAATGCGAGGCTTTAGCAATGAAGATAAAGGGGTTCTATATTCGCTAATAGCGTGAAAATGGTCATTTGACCAATGTTTTGATAACGTACCGCAACCATTTAGACTAATCAATGGGAACAACGTGTGTCTATGTCCTCTCATCCTCTCGTCCTGTCCGCTCATTTCATTAAGCAGTCACTGGAAAAGGGGTTCTCAATTTATTTGTTTTAGCATGTACAGTCGACACATTGCTATTGTCGCAGTGTTGCCATGCCACTCTGAATCATGACATGTTCCAATCATATGGCCTTTAATTTCTTCTGCCAAGAAATTAAAGGGCACTAAGATCTACATTAACGAAGATTTCTCGGAAGCTGTGCAACTGAGGAGGAAAGAGTTGTGGCCGATGGTGAAAGCTGCAAGAGAGAGAGGGGATAAAGCGAGTTTGAAGTATGATAAACTGAATCATCACCCCAAGGGATGGACAAAGTCAGTTATCGACCTAGTGATCATTAAAGCTCAATTTTATATATGTTTGTGTACATGCATGTGTGCAGGACTTATGTTTGTAGCCTACTTGATGAAAATAAAATAACTCGGTGTATAAGATATTCAACTAGATCATAGTATAGGACTTATTTACTTTCAACAAAGATGACCAGTACAAATAAACTACCTAAAGGTTTAATACTTGCGCATATAAATATATGTAGTCTAAGGAACAAAATTTAAGACCTGTTTTTATTTTTTGAACAAAACAAAATAGACATACTTATGATTTCTGAAACTCATCTGGATCACTTCATAGACAATTCAGATGTTGATATAGGGGGGTTTTCAATTTATAGAAAAGATCGAAACCGGTTTGGAGGTGGTGTGGCCATTTATATACGGGATCATTTCCCTGTTAAATTGAGACACAACTTAATGGTTGATGATATTGAAGTGTTATGGTTACAGGTACATCTTCCACATGTAAAACCGATTGTACGTAAATGGTTTATGTAATATGCTAGATAAGGTGACTGAGGAAAACAGAGAGCTATACGGGCTGGGTGATCTAAATATTGATTGGCTGTCTGATATTTGTCCTCTGAAGATTAAGATTAAAACCATGACAGACACCTGTGGTTTATCTCAATTAATGGATCAACCAACAAGAGTTTCTAGTAACAATACAGGATCTTTAACATCAAAATGTATTGATCATATTTACACTAATAATCCTGATATGTGCTCAACACCTATTTCTGTAACAGTTGGCTTTAGCGATCATAACTGTATTGCTGTCTCCAGAAGAACTAAGCTACCTAGAGCCTCTCCTAAAATAATTATGAAGAGATCTTATAGGGTATTTAATGAGGAGAGTTTTTTAAATGAATTGGATAATATTGAATGGAATTCGATTAGTGACATTAATGATGTGGATGCATCCCTTGATTTATTTATGGATTGTTTTATGAGAATTGTTAACAATCATGCTCCATTAAAGAAAGTTACAGTTAAAGCCAAAAGTGCTCCTTGGGTTGATACTGAGTTAAGGAGCTTAATGGCTCAAAGGGAAGAGGCTAAAAAGGTTGCGGTACTTTCGGACTCTCTTGAGGACAGAACATTTTATCGTATTTTAAGGAATCAGGTGACCAAGGAGAATAGAGTGAAAAAGAAAAAATATTTTCAGAAGAGAATTGACGATAGTGGTACAGATAGTAAGAGAATGTGGAATGTACTCAATGAAACCATGGGGAAAAAATCTACTTGCACTTCCTTTGTTGAATTGGATGGAGTTTATTTGACTAAGCCAATACAGATTATTTTATATATATAAATTATTTTAATGATTATTTTGTTAATAAGGTTTTTAACTTTAGAGAGACAATGAAATGCACTGTTGGTTCAAACTCAAATGAGCTAATTGAAAGGTGTATTATGAAAGATAAAATGTGTAGTTTTGAATTTAATCAGGTTAATGTCGTACAGGTGGAAATGTTGTTGAGATCTTTAACTGTTGGTGGGTCTGTTGGTACAGACAACTTGGATAGTCGGCTGTTGAAGTTATCAGCTGGACATATTTCTAAGCCAATCTGTCACATTTTTAACAGATGTCGGATTAGTGGTGTGTGTCCAAAACTTTGGAAGGAGGGCAAGATAATCCCTTTACCCAAAGATACAAAATCAACTTTCTGTGGCCCAAATAGTAGGCCTATTAGCATTCTGCCTATTCTAAGTAAATTACTGGAAAAGATTGTATTTGAGCAAGTACAAGATTACTTTTCTAACAACAATTTGACTACGATGTTTCAGCATGCTTATAGGAATGGTCATTCCACCTGCACTGCAATGACGCAAATGTTGGATAGCTGGCTAACAGCAATTGATAACTCAATGCTAGTGGGTACAGTATTACTAGACTTCAGTGCTGCCTTCGATGTGATTGACCATGACATTTTGATTTCCAAACTCATTAGTTATGGTTTTACTTCATCAGCAATCAGGTGGTTTAAGAGCTATTTGTCGGAGAGGTCGCAAAGAGTTTATTTTAATGGTGCATTATCTTGTAGCAAGTCCCTGGATTGTGGTGTTCCTCAAGGAAGTTGCCTCGGACCTTTGTTATTTCCGATTTTTGCGAATGATATGCCGTATATACTCAGTAAGGCTACATTAACTATGTTTGCTGATGATTCCACTCTTTATTATGCAGCCCCCACATGTTCAGAGCTTAATCAGGTTCTGTCTTGCGAGATGAGCAAATTGTATAACTGGATCAAAACAAATAAACTTGTTCTAAATATTTCAAAAACTATGAGTATAATATTGGGTTCTAAGCATAGACTATCTGATAATCCGAAAATTAGTATACAAGTAAATGGTCAAAATATACAGCAGGTAAAAAAGGTGAAGCTTCTTGGACTTTGGCTGGATTCCACATTGTCATGGTCTGATCACATCAACAAAGTGGTTGCTAAAATGGGTAGAGCTGTAGCAGTAACGCGTAAATGTGCACAATTTCTAAATTCACGGTTGTTCAGTCGTGTTGTTCGTACATTGGCTTTGTGTCCTCTGGATTACTGTTCTGTTGTATGGTGTGCTGCAGCAAGCAGTCATTTAAAAAAATTACAAGTGGCTCAAAATAAGGCTGCAAGACTGGTTCTTGGTTGTTCTTTGCGAACCAGTGTTGCAGAGATGCATGACCGTCTTGCTTGGCTGGTGGTCAAGCATAGACTATCTGCTAATATGTTAGTGTATTTTCATAAAATCATTAACATCCGGATTCCTAAATTTCTTTATGACAATATAATTTACTATTCAGATATGCATTCACATTACACAAGAGGGGCGAATAGTCATCAGATTTCTTTACCCCCACCTAAATCTGACTCTATGAAGAGGACCGTGTTTTATAGGTCAATTGTGCTTTGGAACAATCTTCCAGTTGGGGTTTGTGAAATCAAGGGAAAAACTGGTTTTAAAAAAAGATTAACACTGCATTTGTTTTCAACATCATAACATCGTCTGGAATGGTTGAGCGAAGTTGTATCATGTGTCCTGGTGTTTTGCATTATTTTTTATTACCTTAATCAGTACTTTCAGAATTGTTACTTTTTCTTGTCTTTTGTGTGTATTTATATATGATATATGTGAGTAATTGTAATTGTGGACCCCAGGAAGACTAGCTGTCGTCTCAGCGTCAGCTAATGGGCATCCTTTTAAATAAACAAATATGAATGGCAATAGGCTGCTTCCTTCAATTGTATTGTGTAGGTGAATAATATGACACCAAACCCCTTGAAGATGTCTGTATACTGATCCACAATTGAAGCTACATTATGCTGTGCACTGATGTTGCTAATGCAGTAAACCCTCTTAGTTAAGCCTAACCTTTCACGTGCTTTGTCACCTAATAATGAGTCATGTCCATCTGGAACAACAACAAACACACGCTGATGTTCTTTTTCTTTACATTTCACTTTCAGTCTGCTCTTGCCTTGTGTTGTGTTGATTAGGGTCCATTGTCCATTGTAGGCTTTTAATTACAATGAATCCGTTTTACCTTCATGCCTCTAATGTCACGTTCACCCAGGTTGAACCAGCTGGCCATCAGTCGTAATTTCTACAAATTTACTTGTTGTGTTGGCGCCCGGTCGCTGTCTGACAATGTGTCATCTAAACCCGTCCCGTCCAGCGCCACAGAGGTGGCGGGTGACCATTTAATCTACACACGAGACCACTTTGCATTGCAGGAGTCCCTCAGAAAGATCGTCGACCAGGAGATCAACCCCCACGTGAATCAGTGGGAAGCAGAGGGGACGTTTCCAGCCCACAAAGTTTTCAAGATCTTAGGAAACGCTGGCTTTCTCGGGGTTAACAAATCAGTTGATGCAGACGGACATGGCCACCCCTGCACTGGCCAGGTTTGGTTCAGCCGAGCTAAAGGAAGAGTTCCTCCTTCCCTCCATCGCGGGGGACAAAGTGGCCTGCCTCGGGGTCAGTGAAGTCGGAGCCGGCTCTGATGTCTCAAGTATCCTGACAAAGGCAGTGAAGAAAGGGGATGAATATGTGATCAACGGGGGGAAGATGTGGACCACCAACGGTACCCAGGCCTGGATATGGATACGTCTCCTCGCCAACACAAGCGACGGGCCCCCACACAGGAACAAGTCCCTCATCTGTTTGCCCATGCACCTGCCAGGAGTCCACAAGATTGAGAAACTCGGCATGTGGTCGTCGGACACGGCCGAAGTGTTCTTCGATGACGTCCGTGTGCCCTGCAAGAGCATCGTTGGCCAGGAAGGCATGGGCTTCACCTATCAGATGCTTCAGTTCCAGGAGGAGCAGCTCTGGGCTGTGGGCAATATCGTGACCATGATGGACAACATCATTCAGGAGACCATCCAGTACACCCGGCAGAGGAAGATCTTCAAGCTGCCCGTCCTCTACTACCAATCAGTTAACTTCAGGTTGGCCGAGCTGCAGACGGAGGTGGAGCTGCTCCGCTCCCTCCTCCACCGTGCCACAGCATTGTACATTAAAGGCAACGATGTCACCAAACTGGCATCCATGGCCAAGTTAAAGACCGGCCGTCTGGCCAGGGAGGTGGGCGACAGCTGCCTCCAGTATTGGGGAGGCATGGGCTTCACCAGCGACATGCTTGTCAGCAGATTCTACAGAGATTCTAGGTTACTTTCAATTGGTGGAGGTACCGATGAGGTGATGCTGGTAATCATCTGCAAATACATGGACACACTAGCCAAGAAATGAAGTCATAAACATCTGATCCAGACTGACCGATGCACGCTGCTCCATAGCAGATAATGAGTCATTTTATTGCTAAACGTAAGTCACCTAAGTGCAGTTATATTATGTGACAAACTACATAGCATTTTATTGTTTTGTTTTAGGGGCATACATCAACAGCCTACAGTTGAATTGTATTAGTGTCATTTTATCAAGACTTAAATCTTTTTAAATAGACACTGCAGTGTCTGTAAAAAAAAATTAATTTCCACATTGCATGTCATTGACTAATTTATAGAAAAGTTATAGAAGTTTTAATATTTGCAATGTATTCTCTGTATGTGTAATCAGCACACTCATTCTGTTAAATTCAGATCATAGAATGTGTTTATTTACATTAAAAGTCAATTAGCAAAAAAAAACAAAGTGTACCGTAAGGACACAAGGTATTCCAACATACATAACAATTAAGAATCTTCATCCATTTCAAACAAATGTCTTCAGGAGCAGCTTTTGCATGAATTCAAAATAAATTAAACCTGGCACACGCTGCTGAAAACATGGACGGACGAGCCGGCAAAAAAAACGACACTCCGCTGCATTAAAAAAGTCACTTCAAAATAAAATCACAGGATGACAATTTCTTTTTTTTTAATACAAATTTTTATTTTCCCAGGCAAAGGCGACCCATTAAAAACGGGTCCGCAACCACCAGTTGAGAATCACTGCTCTAGATGGTGTTTTTTATATTTTTTCTGTGTCCCAGACTACTGAGTATTTTACTACACTGTAACAAATTGCTGTAAATTTATGGTGCATTTCTAACGGTATCTTACAGTATGTTAAAATAACTAACATACAGTAACATGCATATAAGAACGTGAAATGTAAAACGGAATTATGAAATAAGTCTTTGGAAATGAAAAACGGCATTATGAAATAAAAGACTCTGGAAATGAAAAGTGGCATTATGAAATAAGACTCGGGAAATTAAAAGTGGCATTATGAAATAAAAGTACCATGAAATAATTAAATGTATTTCATATTTATGTATTTATTGCATTATGAAATAAAAGTACCATGAAATAATTAAATGTATTTAATATTTATGTATTTATTGCCTCATTCGTTTTTTTCATCATGTATTTCAAATGCATATTTCATGTATTTACGTATTTATTCATTTATTTAATTTTGACTAGAACGGCATTCCACACATAATAACGTTTTTTTTTTTTTTTATTGCCTGCCTTTATTAAACTCAGGCATCAACAGATAAATATACTCGCTCAAACAAACAAGCGCTGTTAAATGCACGAGCACGTTGAAAATAAATTATAAATAATGCAAAAGCGGAGAAATAGAATACACACGACACAAAACTATGTACATTGTCCAACCTTGGAGGTTTAATCCACGTTGTTGTGGACTTCAATGCCTTATCGCGCTGATGTGTCCGAGCCCGACCCGAGCCCGACTATATTTTCTAAATATTTATCCGAACCCGGCCCGACGGGCTCGGGTCAGGTATCCACCCTCTACTGTGCAGGGAGAAAGAACTGTGACATAGTGTTGCTGATTGGTAAAATGTGCAGGGTCTTGAGAGACATAGCCTGGCAACTTAATGCCTATTTATTTTAACAGTTTTTGTTTAGCATTTTGCCTATCCTGACACTATAAATATTTGCACGTATTTGGAAAAAATATATGGGACAAAATGAGCATGAGACTTTCTTAGAAAACATGTTCCCTGACTCCGCCATCGGTTATCTTGCCAAAGGGACATTGAGCAAGTAATAAAAACTCCCTTCTGTTGTGATGGTGGTTTTATCTGATGGCGGCATTAGTATTGGTATTCTTGCTATGGTCCTGCCTGACATCCAATGCTACGGTCCTTATTATTATTAGTCACATTATTGTTGACACTATTACTGCTCTTGTCATCATAGATATTTTCTATATATTCGTATCTATATCCACTGCTTCTGTTATTTTTAGCAGTCTTAATTTTCCTGCCATTATTCTTATCACTACTCGTATTACATGAATAATGCAGTGAATGTATTTAAAATATTTTATGTTGTTCACTCTGTACACATGACATTTACTTCTGCTCACCCTCATAGATGGATCCTCCCCTGCTGCTCTACCAAGGATTTCTTCCTTCAACCTCCCTCTTATTTTTGGTGAGAGTTTTCACTGTGCAAATGTATTTGATTATATCAATAGACATATTATTACACCTAAATTAGTCAATATAAATGTTTTAATTTTGATGCTAACGCCCACTTTGACCGCTAAGAACCTCGGCGTCACACTCGACAGCCAACTCTCCCTGACTCCCAACATCACCGCGACAACGCGATCCTGTAGATACACGCTCTACAACATCACGAGAATACGTCCCCTTCTCACTCAGAAGGCAGCGCAGGTACTGATTCAGGCTCTTGTCATCTCACGCCTGGACTACTGCAACTCCCTCCTGGCTGGTCTCCCTGCCACCGCCATTCGACCTCTGCAGCTCATTCAGAATGCAGCAGCTCGACTGGTCTTCAACCTTCCGAAATTCTCCCACACTACTCCACTCCTCCGCTCTCTTCACTGGCTACCGGTGGCCGCCCGCATCCAGTTCAAAACATTGGTGCTCACGTACCAGGCTGTGAATGGATCGGGTCCAGCTTACATCCAGGACATGGTCAAACCCTACATCCCAACCCGCACTCTCCGCTCTGCATCTGCAAAACTACTCGTCCCTCCCTCACTGAGAGCAAAACACTCGACTAGATCTCGACTCTTTGCTGTCCTTGCGCCGAAATGGTGGAACGAGCTCTCTGAAGACACCAGGACCGCAGAGAGCCTTCACCTTCCGCCGCAAACTAAAGACACACCTCTTCAGACTCTATCTCGACTAAAGACTAACAAATTGTGCACTTAAATTGTACTTGTAACGTCACTCATCTATAGCAAATTGTAAATTGGCTTATTTGAGGAAATTGCACTTTCTTGTTTCTTGTTCTCCTGAGTTTGTACCCTATGGTTGAATGCACTTATTGTACGTCGCTTTGGATAAAAGCGTCCGCTAAATGACATGTAATGTAATGTAATGTCGGCACAATTCTTATGAGATATCTATGATTCTCCCCTTTCATTTTTATATGTAATTTTGATTTTGTTTTCTGCGTATCAAAACCGCATATTAAGTAAAGGCATTTCCAAAGAGAGCAATGGACTATTGAACTTTTAATTTAAACTTCCAAATTTTTGCTAAATTTGTGATTGGGATTATTTTCATTAAATATTGTATAACTTATAAGTTGTGTTTTTTGTGGCAAAATGTTTCAGATATTTGTTCGCCGTGGAGAATTGGGAGATATAACTATGTCACGGTGCATAGAAATGCCATCACATAAAAGATTTTAGGCTGTGTAAAAAGTAGTACGCATGAGTGTGCTGCAACAGAATCTCTCTGCTGATCCGTGTGAGAAAGCTTGTCCCTCAGCATATGCATAGATAAGCCTACAATACATTTTCAATTACAACACTGTTCCTGTTCTCTCTTTCTTTCTCTCCCATACACACAGTGTCATTGGGACACTGAAAAGGCAGAATCCTTTTTTCCCCAGTTATGCAAATAGCATCAGCCCTTAAAATGGTTTGAGTGAGAATTAAACGTGAAATAAATGAGGCTTGGCTTCTTTCTTTCCATTCTATCTGAATAAGGCAAAGTCCCGTCTCCATGGGAGATCCCCACGCCGTTGCCATGCCTGTTATGGGATTGACAAAACGTGAAGTGACATAAATACCGTGGCTAGCATTCAATCCAATTATGTAGCGTAGCCCGCCTCAATACCTGCTAGCCATGCAGTGCTGTGGTGTGCTGGCGTCCTTGTATTCAGGCCGCCTCAGAAAAAAGACTGGTCGTATTCATCTTTAAGCCTAGCGCTAACCTTGGTCTCTTCACCTCAGCTAGTTCTGAGGCTATGCCCTTAACCCTATGCTCAACCCATCAGCCTGAGTTAACGCAGGCCTTTTCAGAAGATGATTCCCCCAGGCTAAAACACAATCCCCTCTGAACCATCTAAAGGCCCCAAACTAGCAATGGAAACAAATATCTATTTATACGATATACATAATTAATGTCATAAATAAGTGTAAAGAAAATGAGATTATGTTTCTGTGAGTGACTGACGTTTCTAGAGTACAACCAAGAACAACCAAAATGAAATGGTTTTGAAATGGCACTATGTAGAACAATATCTGTTGAATTTAGGAATAGTGGTACAATGGAACAGCAATCATGAACTGGAATATGTCCAACTACATTGGAACCAAAATATTCCGCAGGCTTACCTCTAATTATACACCACTGCTCTACCTGGTCTTCACAGAAAGTCAAAGTCCTGACGCCACCTCTGGGTCATTCATTAAATGTTTTTTGAAAAATAGTATTGAGTGTACAGCACATTAATCCTTTGTGATTTTAACTGTGACAATCTCTTTTAGGCTTGCAGAATCTGACATTTCACTGCAGCAGCATGCACAGTAGCTTTCTAGTTATCAAAGATATTGTCCTCTAAGGTGTTCTTTTCAACTGTGCTTATAGCCGTGTGTGGATTAGGCAAAGCCACTCCAGTGGTCTCTTTTGTGGAGCTGATGACATTAACAGAGTATGCACTAAGACAGAAATATACATGCGCATTGTTTTTGTCAGCTTCGCCTGGTTCTGTTTCATTAATCTAATCATTGTGGAACTCCACCAATGTTTAAAATGACACAGTGATGTGAAAACATTGCATACCCTTATGCAGTTATGCAGACGATAATCAATTGTATCAAGCCAGACGAGACCAGCCTTCTCGTTAGACTTTTCCAGGTTTTCCATGACCGTACGAACCCTGTTGATAAGCTGCTATAGGCCTACACTGCCGGGGGATTTCCTAGGACACACTGATCTGGTCTGTCCTCTTCTCTTTCTCCTTTTGTAATGGTACGTTCACACCAAAAGTGAAACGAATTCTCGCCCCGCTAGTAAAGCGGGTTATTTCGCTTCATTCGCGTCCCATTTTTTTCGCTTCATTAGCGCCTGGAAGGGGGCGTCGCTTATCTCCGTTACGTGTCTCCGTAAAGACAGTTATCGTTTCTGCTATCCACCATGGAAATAAATAAACACAATTTCTGCTCTTTATTTGTTGTGTGAATTACACAAACGGTGTTGTGTTGGGGTTCATGACATCATCCGTCGCCGCACACAGCTTGAAGTTTACTGACTCCTCCTGGAATTGACTTTACATGGAATCTACACACAAATAATTTGCTTCGGTTTTGGTGTGAACGTACCAAAAGAATTCACATCTCATGAAAGCACATCATTAATTCACCTTTTTCCCCGATCATGGTTCTATCTAGACCCCGGACCTGCACCCTGACATGGCCCCACTGACACCTACTGCTTCTCTGTTATTAGTCCCATTGCCATTACTGTCAACATTAATGCACATAACTTATTTTGTCCCACAATACTTTGTTTCTAGTGTTTGTGACTGGATTGACTCTGAGATCTGAGATCTACTGCTGTGGTGGTCCAACCCCTCTTTCGAATCGACCCGATTAAGAGCACCAGATCCATTAACCAAGCCAAAACGTGTTGAGTGTAAAATGACAAATATGGATTTCAGCTTCAGTAAAGCTAAAGATTTGTTTTTGTAAGAAACTAACTATTTAGTATGAGCATTGTTAGCATATTCTGTGATTTTGTTGTTTGTGGATTGATCTACCTTGGTTGCCTCTGTTTTGAGACAATTCCAAGCAAAAGGGTCAGGCACAGGGTCAGGGTTCTTTTTCCTCAACCAGTGACAAAACCAAAATTTTAAGTGGACTTGACAACCAAATCGGTCCCCCTCCCCTCTTCTCCGACAGTGCTTGGCTTGTGTTTAGGCCACAGAGCTCATTTTAACCACAGGCATTTACAAGCTCCCCTCTAAACAACCTGCCAGGTGCTTTAAGTCTCCTGCAGAAGGGCTGCAGAACGTTATGAGACTTCAATAAGATTAGAGCAGAATGGGCTGTGAATAGAAGAAAGGAACATCTTATAATAGGATCGTTTGTTAGCACAGTAATGTGTTGCTCTGAGCTCCCATGACCAATCTATAACTAATGAGCATTCAGTGAAGGTGCTCTATGTCACAAGTGTCCCGAGGGTACGATGGGGACACAGAGGCAAGCAATTTCTTGTATTTGTCAGCAACATGGGCTGATTGCTTCGATCATGTTTTACTTGTTTTGTATAAATTAAAAATGCTGTGGGCATTCTCACAATGCTTAATGAAAATTCATTGGGCTGGTCAATGAAAAGTAACTATTTTGCAGTGAGATTTAGTTTTGACTCGCTGTTTCGCACGTGTTTTGAATGAAGTTAAAAACTAACTGTGTGTAATATAGTTTGTTTTAAAGATTTTACTGTACATACACGTTTTCTCAGGACTATCTATAAGATTGATAATATAATCAAAATACCACTTCCGACCAATGTTGCTTGCTAAGATAAAGTGCAATTAAACAAGTGATGCATAAAAGGTTTGTGGTTGTATGCAATTAACCTAATGGGAATTAGCAAAACAAGAAAAGAAAGAAACAAAAGTAAGTCTGCAGCCATGCTAGCATTGTGATCCAGCATGCTAAGATGTCCCCAATGACAATGTGTATACCATTGTTACCATCTCACTTTAGCGTAAAATTGAAAAATAATAATGCAAAATCTATATATATATTGCAGTTGGCAAGGCATTCCACTAAAGGCATGTCAACCTCACGCTGGTGCTAGAAAGAAAGTCAGGAGGAGGACACTTTTTTTAAGCACACCTTTTTATGTCTATTTCCTCAATAAGAAACCAATAAGAAAACTCCTTTTTCAATACTACAATAATTGCTTTTGATAACACTGGGTGCTTCCTGTCCATCCTGACCATCAGTTAAATGCCCTTCTGTTACGTCATGTAAGCAAGCAATCAGCCGGATGGAGATGTAACCATTTGAAAAATAGGTAAGTAATATGGCGGCAAATCACTGTCAAAATTCGAGAGCGCAAATCAGGTTGATGCGCGCACTTAAATAAAACATCCGCGAGGAAATATCCATCTCGCGCGAGATATTTGCTCGCGAGGTTAATCTCTGCTCACGCTCAAAGGTGTTTTCTACACGCATGCTGTTCTTTTTGACAGTAAAGGGGCGGAGCCAGTCACCATGGTATGTACATCTGATTGGTTACAAACCCCGTCTTTGGATTGGCTGGAGTGATGCATTCACACAACTATAGAAGCTAATTTCCGCACTAAAGAAAGGGGATGGAAAGTCGAAATTATAAAACGTTGTCAAAAAACAAACGTGTTGACTTTGACACAGACAGTAAAGCAGATACAGTGAGACATGTGTCTGTGTCCAATGGGGATAAACAAAGGCATATATAACCTTAGCATAGTAACCTTACCAAGTCTAGTGTGTTGGGATGCTGTGTTCAGGTACCATAGGCCATCAGCAATCTCTAGTTTCCTTTTTAATACAGCCTGATGTTCATTTAGTAAAGTGTTGATGAACAACGGTCACTGTGACTATGTACACTTCTTATATAAAGACTGGTTTATTCCTTGCTTGCATGAACAGGTGCACAAGATTAGTGAAGCTGAAATGAGTCTCTACAATACCTCTTACCTTCACTACAATTTTGTTTATCCCCATTGGACATAGACCCATGTCTCACTGTATCTGCTTTACTGTCTGTGTCAAAGTCAACATGTTTGGTTTCTACAAGAAATTTTGCAATAGTCTATCACTAAAAGACTATTAGATGGGATTTCAAAAAGCATCACGATTATGCATTGTTTATATATATATATACACACATATATATACACACACACACACATATATATATATATATATATACAGTAATCCCTCGTTTATCGCGGGGGTTACGTTCCGAAAATGACCCGCGATAAGTGAAATCCGCGAAATAGAAAACTTTTTTTTTTTTTTACAATTAGCAACTATTACATGTATACAAATACAGTGACTCGCGTGTAGGCCGTTTCACTGCTCTTCAGACTGGGCCGCTGCATCCTGACTGCGCTCTGCAGTGTTCTCTTCTTCTGAAGCCCGCGGTGCAGGTGTGTTTGTTCGGGAGAAGAACATAGTGATAGGCAGCTGTTGTCGCTCTTTTTTCTTCTTTGCAAAAAGATCCTTGTACACCGACATGCCACCATCGATTACGTTGGAGAACTGTAATGAACGGCTCGGGAGTGAGTTTTTAGCGAATCAGAATGCAGAGCACAATGCACCAAAAAAAAAAAAAATGCAATATGAAAATCCGCGAAATAGCGAATCCGCGATAAGTGAACCGCGAAGTGGCGAGGGATCACTGTATATATATATATGTGTATATATATATACACACACATATACACACACACACACACACACACACACACACCCACATATATGTATATATATATACACACACACACGCACACACACATATATATATATGTATGTCTGTGTATGTGGGTTTATGTATATATATATATATACACACACACACATATACACACACACACACATATATATATATATATATATATATATACACACATATATACGAGAATATGAGAGAGAGAAATATGATAAATATTCTCATGAAGGTACTTGCCAATGCTCCAAAAATGGATATTTACAGTTTGATTATGTTACTGACAACCATCACAAAACTACACTCCAAATCAAACATTTTTTGCTGTGCCATTCAGTATTGTTGTCATTGTCTTTTCCTTTATTAAGAAGTACATTGAAGGAACAGGTGCATTGAGGGCGACACACATACACACTCGCTCTCTCACTCTCGCTCGAAGGGGCTTTATCCCAGGGCTTGTGTCTTTCTCTCCCTCCACAGATCGAGGTGGTGTTTAATGGAAAGTTAATATGGCTTTAATGCTTGTTGTGGCACTTTGACGCTGAAGGCTTCCCTAATCCACTCGGTTCCACACTGCCTGGAGACAGATCCCCTGGCCCAGGGACACAGAGAGACAGAGAGAGTAAAACAAAGAGTTGGTGAGAGACAGAGAGTGAGACTGAGGGAAAGGCAGAGTAAAAAAAGAGTGAGAGACAGAGAGAGTAAGAGACACGGAGAAAGATAGTGGAGAGACAACACTCTCTTGGCTTTTATTCAAACAGCATAAAATATTTCCACGATGACAATGACTTTTCACTAGCTTGTGTCACTCTAATATTTTAGCTCTCTTGGATGTATTTAAAAAAGAGGGACTTTGTACAACGAGGCACAAGTGGCGTACATGCCTCTGAGGTGACTTCCATTTTTCAGGACGACAAAGACAACTTGATGTGAATATGTAACCCTCTGTCTCTTTGAAACACCATAATGAAGTGCCTCAACTAGGGGTTCATATTGTCAATAAAGCAGCTATGGTGTTCATCCTTGTCCTCTTACACACTATTAGTACACAAGTGTTATGCTTCATGAGTGTTTTTAGCAACAACAGGCAGCTTTGGTTTCTAATAATTACTGTAGTTGTATACAGGTGGCCTAAAATAGTGCAAAAACAACTACAGTAATCCAAGTTTTAAGAATCACTCATACTTTAATACCATGGGATTGATTTTGGATGTTGGATACGTTTTAGATATGGCCTGATTGCTTCTTGCACAACATTGTGGTGTCTTTGTGATCCAAAAACATTGTTTAAATATTGAAAATAGAATTTTCTTTTTTTTAACAGTTCAACATCATCTTCTGGTCTTGCACAGAAATTGTAAATTTGAGAGAACAAAAATATGCTTGAATTACTTTAAAAGCACAAATCTCTCATGTTTGGTGAAAATGTGTGTTGACTAAATGTATTGATAAGCACTGGGAGTATTAATCTGAGCATGAATAAATGGTGATAGGAGTCTCGACGAGGGAGCGGGGCGAAGAACTACATGTCAGAAGCTATATGTCATGGGTGGTATTCTACTTGCCTAAACCAGAACCACCATATCAGGAGCAGTGTTATATATATAAAATCATCTAATTCAACCAGCTCGATTTGAATATTGTTGGGATATTGCCCAATCAACCTTCATAATTTAATTTGACAGTCAGTTGTTGACATACAGACGTTAATACAGCAGTTGGCTTCTTCAATATATAGGACTAAATCGTAGGAAAAGTTATTATTACCTTGTTGAGATGTTTCGGATCTTCGTATGAGGAATAAGGCTGAGCATGAGCAGACGTGTGCTTCAGTCATAAACCATCAGGCTGCAGGCTAGTTTGCGTTTTGTCTCGTTCCTTTAGCTCAATTTGTTTGTTCACACCTGTTGTTTTTTGTTCAAACTTGTAGGCTTAGTTCACACCAAAAGCGAAGCGAATTTTCGCCCCGCATTGCTCGCGCGGACCTGGAAGGGGGCGTGGCTTCTCTCCGTTACGTGTCTTCGTAAAGACAGTTATTGTGGAAATACATAACCACGATTTCTGCGAATTACACAAACGATGTTGTGTTTGACATCCGTCGCCGCACGTAGCTTGAATTTCACCGACTCCTCCCGGAAGTGCGTCTGGATGACGGCGGCTTCCAGCGCTGCTTCAGGCTGATGATGAGCGAAGCATCTCAACGCTGATTGGCTTTCGCAAGACGGCGTCGGGCAAATTTCCCGGCGTCGGGAAAAAAACGATTTATTCGCTTCGCTCGTTTCGTGTCCCACGCGCCGCGTGTTTCGCATAATTCTCCCCGCCCGTTTAAAATTCGGCTAATTTGCGACCAGGCGCGTCTATGCATTGAATCTTTTTTGTATTTATAACCAATTCGGCCAGTAAGGTGAAGAGGGTTCCTGTAAAAATTAGTCTTAACTGGTGTTTAATTTACCGACAGCTGTTGTACTGGTTAAGATTCGAGCAGCTGGCCCGGTCTGTTTGTCAGACCAGAGGCTGATATTAGTTCTGCTGATGCCCATATTCCCCCCAAGGGAACCATCTGCTCCACTTGAATACATTAGAGGGATTTTCTGAAGGAATAAAATGCTTTGAACGCAACTATTTGCTCTCTCTGTATTTCCCGGCAGGACGACCAATCAAAAGCTGGCTGCAAATTTAGTGAAGTTAATTTTTTATTATTATAGTATGCCTATGAGTATATTCAAAATGAGTAGTTTAAAAGATTATGTTGAAAGGTGCGCATAAAAAGTATTTATCGATTTCGGTTTCAAATGTCACATAGATGAGAAGGCTGACACTGTTCAACTAGCTCTCACATTTTGGTTAAAGGCATGTTAGTGGTTCATGTGGCCTCGAAGGAAAATCCAAATGGAGGGGAAGTCTACCTATAATATTCATCACATCTACTAGCCCAACAGTTATTTTGTTTGTTGCTCTGTCCTTTTTTTTTACTTGTGGCTGTTGTATATTTATTTAATAATTTCTTATTAGAATCCAATAGACACTTTATGCACTGCTCATTTTTCTTCTTTCCTTCAGTGATAGCTGCTCATCACATTTGTAAAAATTTCAGTTTTTAAAAAGGTTTTTCTTGATTGTTTGGGGGATTTCAAAAGGAATGTAGATTCCACAGTAACACCTCTTCCAGAACAGCATCTTTAACTATATGGATTACATTGAGTTTTCTAAATCACGGCTACTTTTCAACACTGTTGTAGTAATTCATTTTTAATTCTCCGCACTACAGAAAGTGGATAGAAAGTCGAAATTATGAGATAGAACGCTGTCAAGACACAAACGATACCTCTCTGTAACCGTAGTGGACCGTAGATGACAACCAGTGCGGAAATGGATGTAGAGATGTAGAGATACCATGGTGACTGGCTCCGCCCCCTTACTCTCAAAGAGAACAACAGCGAGCGCGTAGAAAACACCTTCGAGCGCGAGCAGAGATTTGTCTCGCAGATGTTTGATTTACGCGCGCGCATTAACCTGATTGTGCTCTCGAATTTTGACAGTGATTTGCCTCCATAGAAGGTCCAGTGGTTCCTATGCTAAAGGAGCTAAGTAGGGAAGCATTGAAGCTTCTTACGTTAACATTTAGATAATTCAAACTGCACTTACACTACTTCCAGGTCCTTCCACACAGTTAGGAACCTTCCCTAAGCAAATTTGACAATTCGAATCCAGCCTTCAACTGGGACTAGGAAGTCTGATTGAGAGAGTTGTCAGAGTGAATGCAGAGTGTGCCAAGAGCATCCAAGAGAATTTGGATTTTTGAAACTGAGACTTCTACATAGGTGAACCTTACTTTGGTACATATCCAAGGTTGACTGAACATGGCAGTTTTGTTAAAATTGCCTGAATTCCTCAGGCTGAAGCACAGTTCAACCTCAGGGACATTTCAGCAGAGGACACTACTCTGTGGTTGTTTCTCTGACCAACTCAACTACAGCAAGAGTGGTATGTGTACTGGAAAATTCACCAACACGACAAATATGACATTACATTACATTACGTGTCATTTAGCTGACGCTTTTATCCAAAGCGACTTACATTACATTTTTAACCCATGGCTTTTTTACATTTTACCCGGGGAGCAATTACGGGTTAGGTGTCTTGCTCAGGGACAGCTGGGGCTCGAACCAATGTAATCGGGACGTCATCCTGGTTGGCAGAAGGTCTAAGACCGAACACCTGTCGTCATCATCAATCCATCGAAATGCCAGTTTGGGCTGCCACCAAATGATTTCCTTACCCATCATGTCACTAAGGGCGGGGTAATCCAGCTGCCATTGAAGGTGGAGGTGGTGCTTCAGATGCTACGTCCCCTAACCATCAATGCTCTGCAGGAGTTCCTGGGGATGGTGAATTTCTACCACCGTTTCATCGTTCAAGCTGCTCACCCTATTGCCCCCCTGGGTGGAGCCCTCAAGAACAAGCCCTCAAACATGTGGGAGAATGTCCGAGACTTTCTCAGCCCCATAAGGAGCCCCTTATGTAGGTGACCATGCTAACCCACCCAATACCTGAGGCCCCTGTTGCCTTGGCTACCGATGCATCAGACTACGCTGTCAGTGCTGTTTTGGAACAGCTGTTCCATGAGGTTTGGGAAGCTTTGCCTAAATGAGCAGAAATCCAGCACCTTCCAAGACCAACTAATGATTATTTTGATAATCGAATAATCGGCCGATTATTTCTTTGATTAATTGATGAATCGGATAAAAAAACAGCATTAAAAAGCTTTAATTTATAAAACATAAAGAAAAATACAAATCAGAAAATTTAACAGGATTCGTTTTAACGTCAGAACTTTTTCCCTACACACTCACAGATGCACACACTCAAACTCTCACACTCACAAACACACAACCATGTTCACTTGAAGCTTATTCATAAAATTAAATGATTATTATTATTGTAGTGCAAGTTAAGTAAATGTATACACCACATCTAAGTACAGCTAAAAAAATAACCAAGTGCTGTGAGATTAATTTAAAATGGCATTCGTAAAGAGATGCATTAGAGGCTTCTTAAGTTAGCCGCGCTGGTTTAATGAATCACCGTGTCTCCCTTTACAGGCATAACATCAACTATAACACAGAATATGCGCTAGCGCACTAGACCACCGTGTATGACAGCATTAAAAGTACCACACATCCAAATATATTTGTCAACAATAAACAAAACAGGACAACGCACGAAATACAAGACAACGGATTGAAAATGAATGGTCCAAAAAAGGTGAGTAAATAAAAATCTGTCTTAGTGTTGCTAACTGCTTTACTGCAGTTATAAGCGAGCTAACGCCATCTTGTTGCCTGCTGGAGGCTCCTTACGTTCCTCACGTCAAAGCGGGACAAAGTGGTGCTCCCGTCCCATGTTATGTTGACTTTGCATATTTTGCCATTGACACACTTAGTTAGTTTATTTAGTATGAAATGCTTGCACACCTTGGACGACAGACGTCTTTGCCTGCGTCATGTGACTCACAACAACTGCCGGTGCTGCTGGCTGCGGTTTCTTCTACGTCAGCTCTACGTTTGCTCTCCGCAACTCATTGAGTGACGTAATAATTGCGTGACACAACAAATCGATAATGAAATTCGTTGCCAACACTTTTAATAATCGATTGTTATCGATTCGTTGTTGCAGCCTTACTTATATACATAGTATAGAGGTAAGTAAGAAAAATTCAATTCAATTAATTTGATTTTGTACTGAAATCACAGTATCACTTTTTAATCATAATTTACCTTACCGTTGCGGTTTACAACGAAAGAATGCATATTTCCCAGGGGGGTTTTGAATACTTAACGCTAAGCGGATGTCTGTGTCTCTTCCAAAGCGTTCCCTTCATTTTCAGGGTCTGATTTCATGGGAGGAGGGGGGGACTCAGCCTCAGAGTGTAGCGCAATTCTCGCTCTACACATATCCTCCTGCTGCTCTAATCCACGTGGATCTGCTTCGATTCCATTGGCTCTGACAATTCCATAGAGACTGGACTTAGAAATCGGCCAAAGAATGGCTAAGATCAGAAAAATTGCATCTCATTTCTCACTGCAAGCTCCTGTGAGGCAGGAGGCGGGATTTGTTCTACTTTGCTCAAAGTAAAACCTTTACATATATAGTGCCCACACACTAGGCTATCATATATGACAGTTTAAGGCTTCTTCCTTTATGTTTTGTAGGGGTAAAGCCCCTACAAATGTAAGGGTAAAGGGCTTTGGAATTAGGGCTTTGGAATTTTTTTTCCCCAGTCGATTCTGAGAGCTTTTTATTTTTTGTTCTGTGTGCCATAAAATATATGGATAGATTTTCACATCAAAGCACGCTCACAAGTGTCCCCTTTTATCTTGACATAGATCAATTTCAAGATATACCTTTTGGTTTCATAAGTAAGCCAGTTGTACTGTGTAAATGCAATTTTGAGCAGAGGCCTAAACAAACCTAGTGTAGAAAAGGTTATTAAGGAATGAATGTCTTATACATTATTAGATTGGAGTTGGTGACCAGATGTATGTGGAGTTGAAGAACTTGCAGCTGCTGCAGAGGCTAAAGGAAGTAAAGGCATAGATGTGTCTGTTGGCTTGTATCATGTGTGGGATCTTATGGGATTCTCCGTCCACGGTCAATGGATGTAGAGCCGAGTGCAGCAGAAGAGAGCCCACATTTTTTATTTGGAATGTGCTCATTCAGTTTTCCCTGCTGAGCTCCACTGCTCACCGGGACTTAATGCCGGTGACCCCGGTGAAGGAGGGGGAGAAATGAAGCTTGTTTCAGAGCAATATTGGCTCATGGAGGATGAACGGAGAGGAGAGCAGTTCAAATGCCATTAGTCACAGGTCTTATCACAAGCCACAAGGCAAGCCAGTCACAAACCACATCTTCTCTAAAAGTAATTGTTCCTCTCGCACCTTCTTTGTGAAGTCCAAACACCATCACCATAGTTTATTTGAGAATAATCCAGGATTCAGAAAGACAAATAAGTGCTGTAATTTTTGGGGGGGAAATCTGCCAGACTTTGCATATCTCTTTCATGCAGTGATGTTGCTAGGTACGCATCCTGCGTCCCTGACGCATTAAAATCTGAAAGGACGCAGTAAATTCACTATCCATG